TTAGTTAGAGGCCCTCTTGGTGAGGCTGTAATACTGGTAGCTAGAGGCCCTCTTGGTGAGGCTGTAATACTGGTAGCTAGAGGCCCTCTTTGTGAGGCTGTAATACTACTAGAGCCCCCCGTGTGTATCAAGTCCCGTTAGCTTGTGACCCTCTTGTTATTTGTAGTAATGTTAGCCAGAGGTTGTCTTAGTGAATCCTCGGTCCTAGTTGCTAAAGTCCCTCTCGACCAGCCTGTAATAGTCCAAGCTAAGTTGTAGAAGAAATCGTTTTCTTTTTTTCCCACCTGCAAGCAATTACTTGGGGAATTCAATGAGGTAATTGAGTAAGAACTGTACACAGTAATGCATATTACATTAGGGCATAAAACATGCGATTACTGCTGTATGCAGCATGTAATCCTGTAGGTCGACGTACCTGCTTGGTTATTCTTGACATGCTTTTTCGGAGGATTAATCGTGTTTCTGAAGTAGTTATTCTGATACAAAGGGTGCTATATTGTATTCGAGGTTTAAAAATCACATTTTTTAATTAACTGAGTCTGTTCCATGCTTTTCAGTTTATCCAGGCCTCTTTGAGAATCAGTATTCTTAGTATTGTGTGTGTGTGTGTGTGTGTGTGTGTGTGACTTCCGTTCTGCTGACAGATGCAGAGGACAAGCACCGTCCATCGGCCCACAGTAAACTCCTTCTCTTCTGCCCCGATGATGTCATCCATGGCACCTGCCCCAGTTCCGGCCCCACCTCCAGTCCCCGCCCCTGCTCCCGATACCAGCCTCCTTCCCAGCTGGATCCCCACCCCGCCCCTGCCTCCCCCGGCCCCGCCCCCCTTGTTGGAGCAGAGGGACTCGCCTATCAGCAGCGGCTCCAGTGACAGTGGCAGCGTCATCCTCGGAGAACAGAGGAAGGAACGACAGCCACTCACTCAGCGTGAGCCCCGCCCCAGCCATGCCCTCCAAATGTGGTGGCGACATGTGATTGGTCGGATCTAGATCATTTCCTAGACCCGCCCTTAAATTACTGGCCATATTTTTGCTTATCTGAAGGCATTTAGAAAAGTGGCTGCAAAAACCGAGGACAATACGTTGGTCTGAATACTCTAAGATGAGGGTTCGAGTCTCCACCATGGTTCCCTGTGTGTGGAGTTCCCATGTCCATCTCATGAAGTCATGGGGTTTCCTCTGGGTTCTTTTTTATCCCCCATAGTCCAAAAAATACTAAAGTGAACTGGAGTTTCCAAATGGCCCATTGCTTTGGTGTGTTTGTGTACGTGTGCCCTGCGATGTGTTGGCAGCGGATCCTGGGTTATTCCCTGCCTTGCCCATAGCTTCCAGGATAGGCTCTTGCATAGTTATGAAACGCTATTTATTAGCATCAGTAATCTAATATTTGGGTTATTCTGCGTACTATAAAAAAGCCTAGATTACTGTGTATACTGTCCGTCCATAAATATACATGGAATCAACTTTTATTCCTTTTCTTGGTGGCTTCAGGCAGGAAGTCCAACATGGAGGAGGTTCAGGACGAGTTGCTGCACAGGCTCACCCTGGGCAGAGGCACTCAGAGGAAAGTCTCAGTCCCTCAGCGCAGCAACAGCCTGCCCGCAGTGGGCCTCAGCTATGACTCCACCCCCGATGATGTAAAGGCCTGGCTGCAGGTCAAGGGCTTCAGCTCTGTGTAAGTCAGACGGTGTCACATGTGCGCGTGCGGGAGGGACAGGCAAGGCTGCCCGGGTGTGACAGACGCATCATTAAGGGGGGTGTGATCCACAGTGACTCGGCATTGTACCCTCACACCTCCAGGGTTGTGGCCCCCATTCCAGCCCCCGGATCTGTGTGGGGGGAGTGTGCATGTCCTCCCTGTGTTGGCGTGGGATTCCTCTAAATACTCTGTTCTCCTCCTGGTATCTCTGTGTCTGTGTCTTTATGTGTTTGTGGTCCCCATCCTGGCCTTGTGGGCCCTATCCTGGCCTTGTGGTCCCCATCTTGGCCTTGTGGTCCTCATCCTGGCCTTGTGGTCCTCATCCTGGCCTTTTGGTCCCCATCCTGGCCTTGTGGTCCTCATCCTGGCCTTGTGGTCCTCATCCTGGCCTTGTGGTCCTCATCCCGGCCTTGTGGTCCTCATCCCGGCCTTGTGGTCCTCATCCTGGCCTTGTGGTCCCCATCCTGGCCTTGTGTTCCTCATCCTGGCCTTGTGGTCCACCTTGCCCTGACACACTTTATTGAATAAGTAAAACAGAAGTTTGGTTAATGGATTAAATGGGTTTTACTGTCCTCTAGGTTAGGGGTGGGGGAACCTGATCCATGGAGGGCCGGTGTGGGTAATAAAGCAGTGGGTCCCCAGGACAGGACTTGAGAACCACTGCTTTATTATTGGCTGATTGAGAGGCCATCCCAAAAACCCACAGCGGCTCTCAGTGGATCAGGTTCGCTACCCCTGCTCTAGGTCAGCGTTTCCCAATCTGGTCCTCAGGAGCCCACAGACGGTCCACGTTTTGGCTCCCTTCGAGCTCCCAGCCTTCCCGAGGACTGGATTGGGAAACATTACTATAGGTTAAAATAAGCCAGAAGTGTATACTTCTTTGTACTATAAATGCAGCATTGCCTACATACAGTCTTGAAGAAATTTACGGGCAATTGAAATTTCAGGACCTCTTTCAAGACCGATATCTGAGCAGAAAGACCACAATGAGTAACAGTTGTTTTCACTCACCCCTGTAGTACCGTTACCAGTCTGGGCGTGCTGACTGGTGCCCAGCTCTTCTCCCTCAACAAAGAAGAACTCAAGACCGTGTGTCCAGAAGATGGGGTGCGGGTCTACAGTCAGGTCACCGTACAGAAGACCGCCCTGGAGGTAGACACTTGCCTGGTACTTGGCATTGGCTGACACACAGAGCAGCAAAAATCTGCAGATTTTACTTCTGCAAACACCTTGGGGGCATAAGGTGAAGAGGATAAGAATGAATAAGAGCCAGCAAGTCCTGTCTGAAGCCCTTTTGTTCTTGAGGACCAGGCCAGCAGATGTGGCTTGTGTCAGTGCTAACGGTCTAGATTCCAGAACCCTACTAAGTTCTATCTGACTTTGTGAATCAATTTATCCTCTCAGGAGTTCAACACCTAGAATAACGATGTAAGAGACATCAATTGGAGTCAGTAGATGTTTGCCACAAGATGTTTGTGTTTACGCAAGGGTCTGGTTTTATCCCTGGACACTTAGAAATGCATGCATCTGCCTGTAGGTACTTGAATGAGTCTGAAGCATGGTGTTAATCAAACTGGTATGGGTACTTCTGCCTTTCTGGTTTCTGTGGTGTCTGTTTCTTATCTACAGGCTGCCTTCTGACTCCTCGTGGTCTTCATACACTGATTTTGTGCACAAACTCTCAAAGGTATTGTGTATGTCACAGATAGAGTAGTTTTGTTGGCCAGGTTACAGCTTGTAATTTTACTATTTGTAGGGAATTTTGGTGAAGTATTTCGTTTAATTAATGTGTTCCTGAAGTATCCTTTCTTATATTTATTAAAAAGTAACTACCCAAGTGTTGGAGTTACTTATGCAGTTTTTGTTGGCTAGTTGGGAATCAAGTACTTGTCTAGTGGTATTTTCTACACCTAAAAATGATATGTAAAATTTGAAGTATTTATCCAGACATTAAATGCACAGAATTTCTGTTTTATTACCTCAGTAATACCTGATTTCATTTAAATCCAGTTTCAGCAAAACAAACATACTGTTTGCAGTCAAACTACATACGATAAAGTCAAAGCATGATGCAATCAAACTGCACATATTCAGTCATTTTAATGTCTTTTTTAAAGTAGCATCTATTGTGGGGGTGAAACCATTCATATCATTACATTTAAATGTCTTGTTTGCATACTTTGTGCATTTTTCTGAAGGAATGTGGCCAACAGAGAACCTTTTTCCATGGTTTAGAATAGATTTAGGCTGGATATACAGTATGTACTCCTTTCCCTACTTAGAAAATCCTGTCTTTTCCATTCTTTCCTCACTCTTTTGCCGAATAGCATAAGTGCGTCAGTTGTGTAGCTGGCACTGTGTGTGTGGAGTTGCTGTTCTGATTCGTTACCTGAAGAGGTTTTAAAGGGTTTGTGGGGTGTGTAGATCTCTTTGGTTTATCTGATGTCATCTTGTTTTACATTTGGGTTGGTTGACAACCCCCCCCCCCCTTCCTCCTCACCATCGCAGTTACAAGCCTGAAGCTCTCTCCACTTCTTTGCAGAGTAACAGCAGCTCCGAGCTGCAGGAGATGATGCGGAGGAGGCAGGAGAAGATCAACATGGCCGCCTGCGACTCGGGGGTGGAGTCTTTCGACGAGGGCAGCGGACACTGAGGGGGCCCCCGACGTCGCTAACCCCTCCCGCCTGCCCCCTTCCCAGGAGACCCCTGACCAATCCCGTGAGTTTGCTGACATCATCAGGCACTGCCACGAGAGCCTGGAGGCATGACGGCGGCATGGAAAGACACTGCACCAGCTGACCAATGGAATGCCGCCCTGCGTTTGAAATTGAGCTCTATCACGTTTCCGTGAACAGACATGATGTCAGAAGCCAGTAGAGTTTCAAGGCACATGAACGAAGCCGCTGGTTTCATTACTTAATGGTTCTGTTTAGCGTCCCATGTTTATACAGAACATATGATAGGGTGAGTTTTATCTGACTCCCAACAGATGCTAAGCAAGGCGTGATGCAATTCCCCGGCGAGCACAAGAATCAGCAGTTGGACATATTACCAAAACATAAGTTTGAAAAAACCTGTTGTTAAGTCATCCTGACATCTGTTCTTTATACGTGTAAAACCAAATACAACATTGCAAAGCCATATTGCCGTGATCGTAAAGCCAAATTACTAATCACGCAAAACCAAAAGACCGGAAAGTGCAAACCATCGGGTTCCTCCATGATACTTGGTGGAACCTCATTTGGTAGATGTACCTGGAGATGGTATCAGCATTTCTCAGCAGATGCTCGTCAGGACATGTTCAGATTTTCTTGGTCGCTGACCAGGATTTACCTGTATATGCCCTGTATTCAGTCCTCTATTAGAAAGACTCAAAATCAGTGAAACAATACCTTGAAAATATGACTGTATATGACCAAACTGTTGGGATCGCTAATCAGTCCCAAGCAGACTGTCTAGAATGGCAGCTGAACTCTGAGACGTCTTCCACAGATCACTCTGTCCTCAGCTGGCACTTACTCAACTCCTGGTCAGACACACATCATCAAGGTAATAACTGCTTGTCTGTACCCCAGTAAGCATGTGACTAGGCAGTCTGCAGTGATTGGTTCATGAAACTGCTTAATACATAGCACTTGTGCAGATGACGTGCGGTGATCTCAGACTGAAAGCCAGTTTCTATGGCTGAATATATTATGCGACGTGTATATATACAGTTACTCTAGAGATGAACTGAAAGCTCCTGTACTGTACAGGGAAGTAAACACAGGATAAATATTTATAAACATCTGGCTGTTTGTGCATGTGTGAATGCAGGTGTGAGGAATTACGGTACAGATATTTTCATTAAGAATATATGTATGTCTACATATAGCAAATCGGAGCAAAATAGTTGTATTTTTGTGACAGATTGCTGGCAATTCTCTGTGCGGGACAATATGCTAAGAAATGTATAACACCACTGTGGTACCAGTACACATGGCTGTAATTTAACGTGCCTTTTCCACCTGAATCTGACACAATTCTACAATAAACAGTATTAGAAAATATTTAGCACAGCAAAAATGGCTATATATTTTAATACCTACTTCAAACAGAGCTGGATGATGAGTAGACTTGCTGAGTACTGGTCACTTAAATGAGGGTTTGAAGCCTATTAGTACAGTTAGTCTGTGCTTTGGGGCCTCTGAATCGAAGGCAGGTTTGGTCATTCTGACTGACTGCGTACAATGATCTCATTCACTGTGGGTCTCAAAACGAAAGTAACATAACAGATGACAGAGTGCCGCACTAACAGCTTCTAAAACGTGTGAGCATTTGTTCATGCGTTTACGAAAATCATTAAGTCCACAGTGTGATTTTCGCGCTGGCCCGTTCTAGCTTGACAAACGCAGACGACGGACCCTTTCTTACACGACGTCACCAGAAAATGAGAAGCCGCACTCGCTGTCCTTAAGAATAGATGTTTAATTTTCGACACGTACATTAAAACTCTGTGACAATGACCCACTCTTGCAGTTGCGGCGGTATGGCGATCGTCCTTCTGGTGACAGGAGCAGGAGAATGGCACTGATGACACAGTTTATGTAGGACACACTGAGAGAAGGGGAACACTGGAACACTATCTACACGAAAAAAATGTTTGTTTCAGCGCTTGAGAAGCCGCTGTGTGGTCAGCCGGAGAGGCGGCAGGGCAGAAGAAGTTTCTTCGAATCACCGACTCATGGGGAGAGAACATTTCCTACATCTGCACGCTTTTAGTACTGCAAAAATGCAGATTTAACAATTGCGTAAGGTGGGATTTTTAAATTTTAGATTTATTTATTTTTTATTATTATTATTTAAACAAATTTTAACAAAGCCTATAGCACCGTGTTGAGGCATCGGTTTCAGCTCCGAAAACACTTTCTAAAGCCCTAATGAGGGGACCTTGAGAGCTCTGCCGAAGACCTGCCGGGACATACAGGAACCGGCATGAGCCCAATGTCAAAAAATGGGGACAAACCGGCCGGTGATCGTAAGCACAAAGCAAACCAGTTCAATGCGGGGCAAGTTTCTGTCTTCTGGAGTACTTCAGAATTTTACTGATAACACACCGATGAAAGAAAATCAAGTCCTCCATGTTTAAAAATACAATATGCACATTACATACCGTGTTAAAAAAAAAGCATACCCTAGTATGCCTAAAATGGTTTAACCCAAATATTCCCTTGTAATGACTGACTTCCACATCAATCCTATTAGTATCATACAAAAAAATAAAATAAAAGCAGAGCACGAGAACCGAGCCGCTGGTCCTTCCAGTCCAGTTCCTTTGCAAAATGAATCCAACGGTACCGAGGGCCGAAGATGTTATTTCCGGTTAGACGTGTTAAGTACCTGGTACACAGATGAGACAGCCATGGAACACAGGAGCAGACGCTGAGCCGTCTCTGGAAAGTTCCAGCTCGTTCATTGGATTGGCAGGAGTCAAGCTGAACTTTGCTGGCTGTAAGTTGGCCCCCTTTCGTTTTTTAAAAACCAAAGCCATTGTTCTTACAATGTCCAAGATTCAAAAATGGGTTGTGAAAGGTGTGAAGACTAGAGCTAATCCATGTAAACAGATGACAAAGCGTGGAGAAAAACGCTCACTGACACTCCTGTGAGCTTCTCAGGCATTACTATCTTTTAAAAACCGCCCCTTGTCAGTGTCATTGTGAGAAATGATAAGGTTACAAATAATCTATGTGGGCTTTGGCTGATGAGTGAAAACATAGATTTTCCCAAAATAACAAAATGACAGGCCAGCCCACCCTCAGCATCAGCGCCAACAGGATTAAAGGACCTGTGAGAGCGCAGATAAGAGGCTTGTTAGTGTGTCTGACTGCTTGTCACGCTGCAGGGGGCGGTTCCTGTTTTGCTATTGGCTGTGTGAGCGTCTCCATCTTGCTTCTGTACGTTGGAATGGTCACACAATCCAGTGCCAAC